CACTCACTTCAGGAACCACTGCCTTGGATAACTATCTAGTGAAAACCCTTAAGTCTTTATCTCTAAGTTCTTTTATTTTAGCCTAGTTAGATTTTCCTTGGAGACATTGTATATTATTATCTTTTTGCTTGGATGTTGAAAGTCCAGATGCCAGCATTCCATTTGATAGCTGTGAGGGGAATGGGGAAAGGCTGAGCATCTCGTATGTCTCTGTTGACTTAATCTTCTTCTTTTAGTGTTGTACTCCTGTTCTCGGTGTGCCTAGTATGTTCTTTAGTCCAGAGACCCTGTTCCCCTTCCAGAGGAAAGAAAATTCTCCCTCCTTTTTGTTGGGTTTGGGGAGGGACGATTGCTTGCTTAGCATGCAGTGAAGATGTGTCTGCTTTGATTTTCAAATCCCCTATTTTAGTCAGTCCTTCAGCATCTGTCACCTTATACCCTGTTCTCAGCCCCTGGTGGTACCATAGTGAGTCTTCTAGGAATTCTGTAGATTGTGGGGGGTGGTGGTGGTGGTGGTGGTGGATTGTATTAGCTTGGTTTTCTGTATTGCCAGTTGAGGATTCAATTCTCCTGGGTCCATTGGATGTTTAGGATCAAAACTTTGTTCTAGTTAAAACCAAAAGGTCTCAATTTCTTCTATTTTATGAGTTTCTGCCTTAAAATGTTTCTTCCTCCAGATCGTATTCTGATTAACGGACATATCTAGAATATATAAAGAATTTTTATAGCCCAGTAATAGGAAGGCAAATAACCCAATTAAAAAATGGGCAAAGGCTGTGAATAAAGTTCTCCAAAGATATAAATAGAAGCACACGAAAAGATGCTCAATGTCATTAGTTGTCAGGGAGATGGAAATGAAAACTACAGCATATCTACTAGGGTGGCTGTTAAAAACAAATTAGGCGATAAATATTGGTGATGGTGTGGAGAGATTAGAACCTTATACACTGCTGGTAGGATTGTACAATAGTAATAGCCATTAAATACTTAGGATAACACTCTGGTAGTTCCTTACGTGATTAAGAATTAAGAGTCATTTAATTCTGCATCTGAGTATGTACCCAAGAGAAATGCAGTCATATGTCCACAGAAAAACTTGTACATAAATGCTTGTTGTTTAGTTGCTACGCCATGTCTCACTCTTTCAGGACCCCATGGACTGTATGCTACCAGCCTCTTCTGTCCATGAGATTTCCCAGGCAAGAATATTGGAGTGGATTGCTGTTTTCCTTTTCCAGGGAATCTTCCCCACTCAGTTTATAGCAACATTATTCATAATAGCGAAAAGGTGGAAACAGTGCAAGTGCCCATCAATTGATGGATAAACAAAATGTTGTATATTCATACAATAGAAGGTTTGGCCATAAAAAGTGATGAACTGTTGACACATACCACAACATGAATGCACCTTTCATACATGTTAAGTGCAATTGCCAAGTGATAACCACAGGACTGCCAGGGAGCTCCCCGATTACTGGTTTCTTACGGTTTGGAGTGATGGGGGGATAGGGAGGTCATAACTAAAAGGTACTGGTTTCTTTTTGAGAACATGAAAATGTAAAAATTGACCATGGTGATGGTTGAATGAAATCTGTGAATATACTAAAAAGCCATTGTATGCCAAAAATGGGTGACTGAAGTGACTTAGCACAGGGCATAGTTAATCTGAGTTCAGTTCAGTTCAGTTCAGTTGCTCAGTTGTGTCCAACTCTTTGCAACCCCATGAACCACAGCACGCCAGGCCTCCCTATCCATCACCAACTCCTGGAGTCCACCCAAACCCAAGTCCATTGAGTCGGTGATGCCATCCAACCATTTCATCCTCTGTTGTCCCCTTCTCCTCCTGCCCTCAATCTTTCCCAGCATCAGGGTCTTTTCAAATGAGTCAGCTCTTCGCATCAGGTGGCGAAAGTATTAGAGTTTCAGCTTCAACATCACTCCTTTTAATGAACACGCAGGACTGATCTCCTTCAGAATGGACTGGTTGGATCTCCTTGCAGTCCAAGGGACTCTCAAGAGTCTTCTCCAANTCTCTTTCAGAATTTTCCACAGTTTATTGTGATCCACACAGTCAAAGACTTTGGCATAGTCAATAAAGCTGAAATAGATGTTTTTCTGGAACTCTGTTCTTTTTCGATGTTGGCAATTTGATCTCTGGTTCCTCTGCCTTTTCTAAAACCAGCTTGAACATCTGGAAGTTCACAGTTCTTGTATTGCTGAAGCCTGGCTTGGAGAATTTTAAGCATCAGTTGACTAGCGTGTGAGATGAGTGCAATTGTGTGGTAGTTTGAGCATTCTTTGGGATTGCCTTTCTTGGGGATTAGAGTGAATACGGACCTTTTCCAGTCCTGTGGCCACTGCTGAGTTTTCCAAATTTGCTGGCATATTGAGTGCAGCACTTTCACAGCAGCATCTTTCAGGATTTGAAATAACTCAACTGGAATTCCATCACCTCTGCTAGCTTTGTTCATAGTGATGATTCCTAAGGCCCACTTGACTTCACATTCCAGGATGTCTGGCTCTAGGTGAGTGATCACACTATCGTGATTATCTGGGTCGTGAAGATCTTTTTTGTACAGTTCTTCTGTGGATTCTTGCCACCTCTTTTTAATATCTTCTGCATCTGTTAAGTCCATATCATTTCTGTCCTTTATTGAGCCCATCTTTGCATAAAATATTCCCTTGGTATCTAACTTTCTTGAAGAGATCTCTAGACTTTCCCATTCTGTTGTTTTCCTCTGTTTTGCAGTGATCACTGAGGAAGGCCTTCTTTTATCTCTCCTTGCTATTCTTTGAAACTCTGCATTCAAATGTGTATATCTTTCCTTTTCCCCTTTGCTTTTAATCTGAGTAGATTGGTTCTTAAAGTCAGACCTAGATTTCAAGCTTGAAAAAGAAAAGTGAAAGTGAAGTTGCTCAGTCGTGTCCAACTCTTTGCGATCCCATGGACTGTAGCCTGCTAGGCTCCTCCATCCATGGGATTCTCCAGGCAAGAATACTGGAGTGGGGTGTCATTTCCTTCTCCAGGGGAATCTTCCCGACCCAGTGATTGAACCCGGATCTCCTCACTGCAGGCAGACTCTTTACTGAGCCACCAGGGGCTCCAGTTTCAGGCTTAACCAGTCAGTTGATTAGCTGTGTCACTGTGAGAGGAGTATATTGAACCCATCTGTTTCTGTATCTGAAATAGGATTAAGAGTCATCTTCAGTTACTGAGGTTTAAAAAGCTGGCCTTCTCTTAGCTGCTGTTCATTAAACCACCTTCTGTACTTGGTGCTTGAGTTTCACATCCGTTCTCATTCCATTCTTGTGAAATTATGTTATGCACATTCCCTTACTATTTCTAACCGCAGCCAAAGAGAAAAATTCATTTCTTAATTCATGCTTAATAATATGAGAACGGTTAATTCATGATTGGACTTAATCTTTTTATATAGAATATTGTGCTACTGGTGCGTTAGCAAAGATTTTTCTAGTTGAAAATTGCTTATTTTATATAAAAGAGTTATATATCATGTTTTCAAAGGAAGGAAAGTTCAGATGATAAAGGCCTGAAATATTTACTGTAGTATAATTTCACATTTATGATTTTTAAGTAAAAGTTACATTGAGTGTTGTAACTTGATTATGGAAAATTTCATTTATACACAAAGGTAGAATGTGATGAATTTTTGTTCACCTCTCTTTGACCATGATTGACATACGATCTGTCTTGCTTTATGTTTGTATTCCTCCACATCTCCCCTCCTACCCCTGTAAGAAAATGTTAGATATTATTTAATGTGTCTTTCTACTTACTGTGACAACCAGAACTACCCCTTATATTTCCAAAATATTGCCTTGATGATAATGTTAATTATCTCTTGAGACCCATTTCTATAGGGCATTGTGGTATGATGGGATTCTTTTAATTTCTTTACCCACCCTGAGATTTTCTGACTTCAACAGTGGAGTAAAACCTAAATGTATAGGTGATTTTAATGAAAGTGTGAGAAGCTTATCTAGCATAGAATAAGTAAACTTTTCTTATCTTGGTTTGGCCAGAAAGTTTGTTCTGGCTTTTCCGCAAGATACTATGGAAAAACTCAAATGAACTTTTTGGGTAGTCCAATAGTATGACACACTCTTCTGTTGTATGTTTCTGCATTTTATTCTCCTCCCTGGGAAGCCTTTCTTGAGGTTTTCTTGGCTTCTTCCTAATTATATTTTACGAAAACTTTCTCTATCCTTAGTACTTCCTCTGTACTTTGTGGTTTACTTGACTGCTCGCCTTCAGGGAGGAATTTTTACTTTCTGTTTCTGCATGATGTGTGTGTTCTTGTGTTCAGTTGCTCAGTCGTGTCTGACTCTTTGTGACCCTGTTGATTGTAGCCTGCCAGGCTCTTCTGTCATGCGATTTCCAGCAAGAATACTGGAGTGGGTTGCCATTTTCTTCTCCAGGGGACCCGAACCCACATCTCCTGCATTGGCAGGTGTACTTTTTACCACTGAGCTACAGGGCAAGCCTGTATCTGCATGATACTATTTGTTAATAGATGTTGAATGAAAGAGGTGGGGCATAAAGTCAGTATAATAGGCCAATAATCAGGCCAATAATAAGAGGTTGGCTTTCTCTATATTGAACTAGAAAGGAGCAGAATTTGAGATGGAAATCCGAGGAAAGGAATATTGTAAACTTGGTAAGAGCTATGTGTAACTTGAACTACATTTAATACCATTGATGTAAAATTGAACAAGGCTATGACGGAGAAGTGGATTATTAGGCCTTGAATATAGGATTTATGCATCTGTAATAAAACATTTGCATTAGAGATGAGTGAAATGGTAATACTCATTTCCCACTAAGATCAAGATAATGGACACAGAAAGGATATGTCTTCATATTGTTTGAGTTATTGTAGTATCTGTATTGGGGGATTTTTGAAGTAATTCTTCTAGAAACTAGACTAGATGATGCTATGTAAACATCTGTAATATATATTTATTTTGTTCTTGCTTAGTTCAAGGAAGAAATCTCTAAACGTTTCAAATCACATACTGACCAACTTGTGTTGATATTTGCTGGAAAAATTTTAAAAGATCAAGATACTTTGAGTCAGCATGGAATTCACGATGGACTTACTGTTCACCTTGTCATCAAAACACAAAACAGGTAAGTTTTTAGAAACATTTTAGCTGTACACCATGAATAAATGTTTATATTACCCTTTTAAAAATAACCAGTCTTGGCTTTAAATGATTTGCTGTCATTAATGTGTAAGTAGATTAAAATTCATTTATTTGCTGCTGTTGATAACCAGATGTTTTAAAGAAAGCCAATATGATTCAGTAATGCTAATGCTTACACATTTGATATTTTAGAATGTTCATCATCATTATTATATTACTTGAATTACAGAACAAGCAAATTAATGTTTTGAGCTGTGTTTTTTTTGTTTCAGATTTTTGGACAAAGATTAGAAGTGTGACTCATTTTCTTTGCAAACCACAAATTAGTAACCATATTTCATTAAATCTAAGGCACTATTCAGTTCTTAAGAAATACTTTTATTTGTGTACCAATAAGAAAAAATATCACCCATTAAATTGGTATATTTTCATTTAGAATTATTTTCTACTTAGTGAAAGAGCTCCTAGAGCTTCCTTAGACTTATTTGGATATGGTATTTTATCATCATTCAGATTAAGTGAGATTCAGAACTCTTAACTGGTATCAGATGGAAAGGGTTTCTAATAAACTCTCCTTATTTTTTTTTAATACTAAGTAATAATTAGTTATTATTTGTATTGATTTTGCAGCATTCTTTGGTCAAGTCTCTTTTTTTACTTTCAACATTTTTCGTTCTGAGTAAAACTGCTCCCCAGTCCTTAAGAACTTAGGAGATAGATTAAAAATTGCTTATGTAGTCAGGCTTTGTGATTGTGATCAATCATTAATTCTTTTCTGTGAGGTGATCTATCTCCCTCTCTTACACCATCAGTCAATATAATTGAAATGTTTATAACTTTTTTATGTTTATAAATGTTATGAAATATTTATGACAAGTACTTGAGGGGCAATTGAAGTATAGTTTGGATTTCATGGGATGTTGCTATATTTGTTTATGTTCCTGTTCCTTGTGCTTAATTATCTCAGCATATTTACTTTACGATAATTTGAGTTGGTTTAAAAACTTTATTTGTACCTATTGGAATTTCAGAGCTCCTTTTGAAAATAATTCGCTCCAGTGTTTATATTATGGTGTAAATTATTTTTCCCAGGCCTCAGGATCATTCAGCTCAACAAACAAATGCCAGTGGAACCAGTGCTACCACATCATCTGCTCCTAGTAGTAACTCCACATCTGGTTCTGCCACTAGCAACCCTTTTGGTTTAGGTAAATATCTTTAGTCATTTTTCTTAAGGATAAAAATAAACAAATTTCCTTTTTCCCAGGATAGTTTTAAATAAGACAACAGTTAAACATTTAAGTCACTCTAGCAATGACAGAAACTCCTTCAGCTTGTTTCTATAATCATAGTTAGTAAGGGGGTATTCGGGGACACAGGTGTGCTTGCTTAGGTTGCGTTTATATATACTAAGCGATCAGTAAGTGGCACATTTCTTTTAATAATGAAAGAGATGTATGTGTACCAGATTTGACCACCACATAATTGACTCTGGAAAAGATTAGCTAGTTGTTGATCATAAGCTAACCCCTTGAACACAATTTTCTCCTTTGTAAAATGAAAGGCTTAGATTGCATTAGTGATTTTCTAAATGTTCTAAACTCACACAGAAAGGCCTGAGTGCAAGCCCGGTGGTTAAGGATCTTCTGCATCAGCCAAAACTACTTTTCTTATATTAGTTTTTACACTGAGGTTCTTAGGAAGGTTTAGTTGGAGAATAGAGTGATCTGAAGCTAACAGAAGTTGAACTGGATAGATAAATGGCTTAGTGCGTCTTTCAGTTCCTAAGTTGTATGACAAGTATAATAGCTTGAAATGACATTTTAACTCATTATTGACCAGGGGACTTTTGGCAGAAACTAACACCTGTGACCAGCAATTTTTATTTCAGCTAGCCAAAAATTAGTTCTGTTATTTTACTAATACTTTGCAGTTTATTGCATTTAGTAGTGAAACCGGACACACCTGTGCAGTCTCTTCCAGCACCGTGAGTTTTATTTTCACTTTGTGTCAGAATCAGTCACTGAAGTTTTCTCTTTGTTGGTCTAATATTCACATGGTCTGAATCAGAACTGTATTCTAAAGAACTGTCATCTTCTGAGACAGTAGCATGTATATCACTTGGATATTCAGAGAAAGTATCTGCATAAAATTCACCTATTTAATTCTTCACTCAGAATTTCACGATGCGTCACTGTTAAAAATTTTACAATAATAAGTGTGAGTTTATAGTATACACGAGCTTGGAACAAAAGCCTGACAGAGCAAATGTGAATAATGACATCATAAGTTGTGTAATGAATCCTTATACAATTTTCATGTATCGAGGCTCATATTTTCTTTCACTTCCAGGAAAAGTTTTTTAGTAATTTATTGATAGCTCTACTGTGCCAGTTATGTTGGAAACAACATTTAGGGCATGGCATTGATTCACATTCTTTCTCTCTCTCTCTTTAAGGTTTGATTTAAACACATCTTGGGCTAAATGTTTCTCTTTTGGTTGAGGCAAATGAGTTTTAGGTGGAAAATTGATTAACATGACTAATCTAACAAGATAGGATGAAATTATTTAGTGTATTATTGAGGTAAATCTCCTCCCTCAATTTTTTTTTTAATATTATTTATTTGGCTGTGCTGGATCTTAGATATGGCATGTAAACTGTTAGTTGGGGCATGTGAGATCTAATTCCCTGACCAGAGAGTGAACCTGGGCCCCCTGCATTGGAAGCATGGAGTTTTAACCACTGGACCACTAGGGAAGTCCCTCTTCTCTCATTTTATAGGCAAAGAAATTAAGCCCACAGAAGCTTTTAGTTAATTTGCTGCTTATTTCATTCCCATCCCCTCCTATCTTAGTTACTTTTCTCCATCAGTTATTCTGTTTACTCTGTATATTTGGCTTTTTTTTTTCACTGTGTGTTTTCACTAAGGTCTGTCCTGTGTTTAAACGGAGAAGGCAAAGGCACCGCACTCCAGTAATCTTGCCTGGAAAATCCCATGGACAGAGGAGCCTGGTAGGCTGCAGTCCATGGGGTCGCTAAAGAGTCTGACACGACTGAGCAACTTCACTTTCACGTTTCACTTTCATGTATTGGAGAAAGAAATGGCAACCCACTCCAGTTGTTCTTGCCTGGAGAATGCCAGAGATGGGGAGCCTGGTGGGCTGCCGTCTGTGATGTCACACAGAGTCAGACACGACTGAAGCGAATTAGCAGCAGCAGCATGTTTAAAAGCAACAGAATCCCACTACCACCTTTCTTTTTCTTTCTCAGCTATTTTTGGAAAAGATATATTCTGTTTTCTGTCTGTATTTCTCTTTCACTTAAGTTTGCTGTTCTCTATTTCTTGCCCCCATCACGTCCCTTGATAGTCACCATTGACCTCTTAGCTTGCCAAATTTAATGGACACTTTTTTAGATTTTTAGACACTTAGATTGAAAGAAAGTGTTTTAGAATCTAAATTGCTGTCTTCTAATAGTTACCAGTCTGTCCTTGAAATTTTTTTTCTTTAATTCCTGATATGCTTTTTCCCTGGTTAATTTTCTGACCAGTTTTTTTCTGTCTCATTTGTGGGTCTATTCTTCCTATTCCTTTTATTAGTATTGTTCTGCCGAGTTCTGCCTTCTCTTTCTTCTGTTCTTTTATTCTGTTTTCCCCACTGACATTATCCTAACTGTAAATTGTTGACCCTCGAATCTTTACCTAAACCGACATCAATTCTGAACTCCATGCCTTGTATTCAGCTCTCTTTGATATTACCTGATGTTACTCTTAAGTACTTCGGCCTGTATGTTCCTTCTTAGAAAGCAAAGAAGAACAAAACAAATAAATTCATCATCTTGTCTCAGACTACTACCTCTCCAGCCAAGTCTCTTGGTCCATAGAATCTTTTCTCTCCCACCCCATGTAATGATTCTATTCTGTTGCTACTGCCTTGATGTAGCTCCTCCACTTTTAAAAATGTTTATTATTCTATGTAATTTCTACACTGTTATTAAAAATATCTTAAGTGACTGTCTTGCATTTAAAATACTTCAAGAGTTTGTGATGTAGCCTCTCCATTTTAATTTAACGTTCTGCACAAGTTACACTGGTTAGGATAGGCTATCCTGTGGTAATGTGTCTGCTTAGTTGCTTAGTCATATCTGACTCTTTGTGACCCCTTGGACTGTAGCCCACCAGGCTCCGGGCAGGAATACTGGAGTGGGTTGCCTTTTTCTTCATGACTTTTTTTTTTTAACTGAAGTATAGTTGATTTTACTGTCTGCTGTGCGGCAGAGTGACTCAGTTATACACATACATACATTTTAAGAATATCCTCTTGCATTATAGTTTTCCTCAAGATGTTTAATGTAGTTTCTCCTGCTGTGCGTTCGGGCCTTGTTGATCCGTTCTAAATGTAATCGTTTGCTCACGCTTCGTGTGTTTCACTGGTCAGTGAGGCCTCCATCTGCATAGTCCTCGGGGACTCAAAACTAATGCAATTCTACTATCTTGTAGCTGCACCATTTGGAATATGGCAGAAGATACAGCTAAAGTGTTTTAAACTGGACCTTATATTCTAAACTTGGGCCAGAAGTGACACATACCATTTCTTACAGTCCTTTGGCTTTAACTAGTCACATGGCAGTTTGTTCAACTGCCACAAGAAAAGAAGACTGCACATGAGATGTTTGCTGAGCACGGGTATCTGCTCTTTTGGTCATACTGAATTTTTTGTAGTTTAAGAATGCATCAGTTCTCACATTTATATCTGCGCTTTTGTAGATAATGTCTGTTGTGCCTAGTATTAAATTTTCCCCCCGCTCTCCCTACTTCTTGCCCACTTACTCATTTTCCAAATTGATTAAATGTCGTTTTGTGGAAAAGTAGCCATTTCGCTTTTAATATATTATCTATTAATATATTAAGGTACTATTAATATATTATCTATTAATATATTAAGGTACTATTAATATATTATCATGATATTCTGTGACAGTCTCTGTTGAAATACTTATTCTGCATTTATTTTGGCTTTCCCACCAGATTAAGTTCTGAGGGTATGCTTGTCTTTCTTGTCACCTTATACCCAACATATAACACAGTACTCAGTAAGTGAGAAATGAATGCATTTGGTTGGTTATATACAAAGTTTTACAGTCACCCTCCTGAATCTGTTAAGTTTCTCCATGATTTAATTCTTTCAGAGAGACATCTGTTTCCATGATGGGCAGCAGCTCTGTTCCAACCAGTCATCGGTGAATTCTACTTGTTAAACTAGTCACTAGTCTTCTGGAAAGAGATTATTAGAAGTATAGTCTTCTGTATATTTTTCATTTCTTCTTTTAGTGGGCATAGCCTGGGATTTTTTTCTTTCTGATACCAGCCAGTTCTCCAGCACTGCCTGGGTGGGTATCCAGTAGTTCAGTTCTGACACTAATACCTGGAGTTAGTGTTAGAACCCACAAGTTAAAGGACTTGGTCCCCTGTGACTGCCCTTACTTCAGATACCAGTCCAGTCCCAGGCTACCTGTACTTCTTACTGACAGGCTGTAAATTGGGGGTTCCCACAACCCCTTATCAGGTTTGATGATTTACTCAGATGACTCACTGAACTCAGGAAAACACTTCACTTAAATTTACCAGTTTTTTATAAAGGATAGACCTCAGAAATAGATAAGTGGAAGAGGGGGAGAAGTGTAGGGCAAGGTATGGGTGTGGGGGGTGGGGGTAAAGTACAGAGCTTCTGTGCCCTCTCTGGGCGTGTCACCCTCATACGACGTAAATGTATTCACCAACCCAGAAGTTTGTGAATCTCACTGCACAAGAGTTTCACAGAATTTCATCTCTAGATCCTCTTCTAGCCCTGGAAATTGGTGGATGGGCTGAACATTCCAGCTCTCAAAAAATCACATGATCTTTCTGGCAACCACCACATTCTGAGGCTATCTGGGGGCCCCATTCTAAATAATATCATTAACATAAATGAGGTATGATCTAAAGGGACTTGTTACAGACAGCAAAAGACATTCCCTTCTGTCAGGAAATCTTGAGTGTTTTAAGAGCTCTGTGCCTGGAACCAGATGTAACAAACAACCAAATAATGTTTTTGTATTATACTGTGCATAGGAAATACATGTTTATTTGGTTTTATTATTTAAATATCAGAGTGAACACATTTATTACTAGTCTCAATTATAGAAATTAGACATGTACTTACGAAAGTAATAGGAAATCTGTTTTTGCCTTAAGCTGAATGGTTTTCTGTTAATGCTGTTGATTCAGTTAATATTTTTGCTTCATCTTCATATTTTAGCACAGTCATATTAATGATAAAATTTCATTTGTGTTTTTTCCCTTTATCTTCTTAGGTGGCCTTGGAGGACTCGCAGGTTTGAGTAGCTTGGGCTTGAATACTACCAACTTCTCTGAACTACAGAGCCAGATGCAGCGGCAACTTATGTCCAATCCTGAAATGATGGTCCAGATCATGGAGAATCCCTTTGTCCAGAGCATGCTTTCAAATCCTGACCTGATGAGGCAGTTAATTATGGCCAATCCACAAATGCAACAGTTGATACAGAGAAATCCAGAAATTAGTCATATGCTAAATAATCCAGATATTATGAGACAAGTATGTAAATAGTTTCATTTAGTTAAGAAATTATATACTTATTTTTTCTTATTTTCTGTATTTAAAGAGCTTGCCAAATACATAAGCTAAAAAAAATAAACCCTAATCCTTGTTCAGGAAAATACAACAAAGCACTAATTCGAACTATCTGAACTTTGAATTTTTTGCTGTATTTTAAAGGTTTTTTTTATAAATAGTTGTTTTGTAGATCTAAGGAACAAAGAGTCCAATTCAAGAGATGGACATTCCCACAGAGCACAGTGTTTCTCTCTTGACTGTTATTTGAATGTTAGCTTGCGTTTTGAGGTGATTTTCAGCGGGAACTATTCACAGTAATTTTCTTTTTTTAAAAAAAAAAATTATTTTTTTTTTAACACCAAAAACATTTTGTTGTGGAGTAAAGTTGATTTACAGTATTGTGGTAGTTTCATGTGAACAGCAGAAGGACTCAGCCATACATATACACATATCCATTCTCCCCAATTCACAGTAGTTTTCTGATTTAAGTATTGAAGATTGTTAATTCAGAGAATTAGAAAATGAGCTATGACAGTTAATCTCAGCATCTTTTTCCTCCCTCTGGAAATCTTTTTCTTAGACTTTGGAGCTTGCTAGGAATCCAGCAATGATGCAGGAAATGATGAGAAACCAGGACCGAGCCTTGAGCAACCTGGAGAGCATCCCAGGGGGATACAACGCTTTGCGGCGCATGTACACGGATATTCAGGAGCCCATGCTGAGCGCCGCCCAAGAGCAGGTAACACCACTGCGCTGTGCTTTAGGGCAGGCTCCTGTTCCAACACAGATACATGTGTGATTGAACGTTGTGTTTGTATGCAAAGTGCAGTTTTCATTAACAAAGATTTCTGTGTCTGTTATTTAAGACAAAAAGTTACTCTTTATGATTTTTTTGTCTTTTATTACAGTTTGGTGGTAATCCATTTGCTTCGTTAGTGAGCAATACGTCATCAGGTGAAGGTAGTCAGCCTTCCCGCACAGAAAATAGAGATCCATTACCCAATCCCTGGGCTCCACAGGCTTCTCAGAGTTCATCCGCTTCCAGTGGCACCACCAGCGCAGTGGGGGGCACCAGTGGTAGTGCTGCCAGTGGGACTGCTGGGCAGAGTTCTACTGCGCCAAATCTGGGGCCTGGAGTAGGAGGTATGCTCGTGACGATTGATGCCTTTTCTCTTGTCATCCTGTGTGCTTTTGTGTGTGTTCTAGGAACAACTTTTATGAACTACTTTTTCATGTTGTAAGGTGCTTTTTTTTTTTCTTAAGGATGCTTTAAATATGTAATAATTAGTGCTCGCTTCGGCAGCACATATACTAAAATTGGAATGATACAGAGAAGATTAGCATGGCCCCTGTGCAAGGATGACACGCAAATTCATGAAGCGTTCCATAGTAAAAAAAAAAAAGTAATGATTAGTATTAACTTGTGTGCATTGTAGTTCAAGAGGTTACCAGAGATTTCCAGAGGCAGTTTTGTGGTTTTGTCTTCTCATAAGATGGCTCAGGAGAAGTGGATTGTCTTCTTTCAACAGCTTAGGGAAGCTGAAATGTAGGGGCAACACAGTTAGCCATGTACTTAATCAGTGGGGCACGTTTTCCTTGCCTTTAGTGCAGTTTTATGTTCTTCTATAGGGCTCAGTGGGTATCCACTCCTGACAGCAGGGCTAAACTTAGCCGAATCAGAGCACCTGCTGGCTTTGTTTTAAAAGTCAGCTTTCTAAGTCGTAACCTCAGACCTGTGGATCAGAATCTGCCACAGTGGAGTTTGAGATGTGTGTGTGTAAAGATGCTAGAGATTCTGATGTGTGAGCAGGTTAGGAATTTACTTTCAGTCATTTTTCTGTAGACTAGATTCAGTAAGTGGCTATCCTTTTCAGTTATTCAGATATTTACATGCTAAGCATTAGGTCCAAAATTAGTAGCTAGAATAATTATTTTAGTCTTAATACTTACCATTTAAAGGAGAAGAAATGAAAGCATAAGGCCACTTCCCTCAGGTGAGAGTAACTGGGTATATTTTAAAAGATAACTGTGTTTTGGCAGTGAAACTGGAAAGATGAGATATGGAATATAGGAATATTTTAGTATTCCTATATAAGTATTCCTTATTGAGTATAAGGAATTTTTAAAAATTCTTTACTGAGAGGCAATAATCAGAATGGTCACAGAAGAATATATTCTTTTATAGAATACAGTGAGTATAATGAGATTTTTGGATAAAATACAAAGTGAAAGTCGCACAGTTGTGTCTGACTGTTTGTGATTCCCATCAACTGTAACTTGCTTGACCCTTCTGTTCATGGAATTCTCCAGGCAGGAGTACTGGAGTGGGTTGCCATTTCCTCCTCAGAGGATCTTCCCGACCCAGGGATCAAACCTGGGTCCCCTGCATTGTAGACAGATTCTTTACCAACTGAGCCAGTAGGTAGCCCTAGAATACAAAATAGTTTTGTAAAAATTTAAATAATGCCATTTAAAAAAATTGAGGTACTATTGACATAAAATATTAGCGTCAGGTGTAAAGTGAAGTGATACAGTATTTGTATTGCAAAATGATTGCTGTGATAAGTCTCAGTCAGTTCAGTCACTCACTTGTGTCTGACTCTTTGTGACCCCATGGACTACAGCACACCAGGCTTCCCTCTCCATCACTAGTTCTGAAGCCTGCTCAAACTCATATCCATCCAGTCAGTGATGCCATCCAGCCGTCTTATCCTCTGTTGTCCCCTTCTCCTGCCTTCAGTCTTTCCCAGCATCAGGGTCTTTTCCAGTGAGTCAGTTCTACACATCAGGTGGCCCAAAGTGTTGGAGTTTCAGCTTTGGCATCAGTCCTTCCGATGAATATTCAGGACTGATTTCCTTTAGGATTGACTGGATGGATCTCCTTGCAGTCCAAGGGACTCTTAAGAGTCTTCTCCAGCACCACAGTTCAAAAGCATCAATTCTTTGGCACTCAGCTTTCCTTATATTCCAACTCTCACATCCATACATGACTGCTGGAAAAACCATAGCTTTGACTAGATGGACCTTTGTTGGCAAACTAATGTCTCTGCTTTTTAACATGCTGTCTAGGTTGGTCATAGCTTTTCTTCCAAGGAGCAAGCATCTTTTAATTTAATGGCTGCAGTCACCATCTGCAGTGATTTTGGAGCCCCCCCCAAATAAGGTCTGTCACTGTTTCCATTATTTCCCCATGTATATGCCATGTGTTGGGACCAGTTGCCATGATCTTAGTTTTCTGAATGTTGAGCTTTAAGCCAACTTATTCACTCTCCTCTTTCACTTTCATCAAGAGGCTCTTTAGTTCTTCTTTGCTGTCTGCCATAAGGGTGGTGTCATCTGTGTGTCTGAGGTTATTGATATTTCTCCCAGCAGTCTTGATTCCAGCTTGTGCTTCATCCAGCCCGGCGTTTTGCATAATATACTCTGCATATAAGTTAAGTAAGCAGGGTGACAGTATACAGCCTTGATATTTTCCTTTGTCTAGCTCTAACTGTTGCTTCTTGACCTGCATACAGGTCATGTCTAAACATCCAAAGTTTAAGTCTAAAAATCCAAATAAACCATGTTTAAAACAAGGAAAATACTATCCTATTCTGATTTTATCAAAGGCTTATTTGATTTTTACTGATAAACTTTTTTTTATATGAAATAATTTTTATAAAAAATAATATTAAAATTGTATTATCATTAGCCTTCAAACTAATTCCAAAGCAGCTCTTCTTTTCTCATATTATAGAAACATTTATCTAAGTATTATGTCCATTTATTGCCAAGATAACATTTTACAATATAATGCTGTGTTTACTAAAATCTAATCCATTGATTTTTACTGATAAACTTTTGAGAGAGATGCTTCATTCACATTTTAGAGGTCTAAGAGCAGAGACAAAGGTTTAATAAGGTTTCCCAGCTGATAGACAAATTATTTTTAATTGTAGCATGGTGTCTGTAGTAACAACTTTGTCTTACAAACAAAATGGTCTTGTAACTTTTTACTCAGCTTTTTAATTTAATGGCTTGATATGCTATTTAAGATTTCATGTTAATATTTCCATCAAAGCAAAACAAGAAACAGAATAATGATTGTACCCTAATGGCCTAACATTGTTAGCATATTTTTATACTATTAGGACCTTTAGTCAGCTATTTGAAGTTAAGCACACGTATACCTGAAAGGTGAAATTCTTTACTCTTCTTTTGCCCTGTAAGCACTCCCTCTGGAAACTGAGGAAATTGTTGAGCAAAAAAATTTTTTTTTTTTTTTAGCAAATTTTTCTTGCAAAGGGATAATAATAGTTTAGGTTTCGCAGGCCAAAAGCCAAAAGAACAAAATCAAGACTATTTTATTAAGAAGGGAAGAGAATTCCCTGATGATCCCAGTGATTACAACTTGCTTTCACTGCACGGGGCACGAGTTTGATCCCTGGTCAGAAAACTAGCCATGCAGCATGACCCAAAAAAAAAAAAGAATATTATATGAGAAGACCAATCTCCACAAGTTCTTTTATTGATGGAATTAAAAATATAATAATTGGGTATAATATTATTTTTGTTGTTCGGTTGCCCAGTATGTCTGACTCTTTGAAACCCCATGGACTTCAGCATACCAAGCTTCCCTGTCCTTCATCAACTCCTGGGATTTGCTCAAACTCTTGTCCATTGAATCAGTGATGGATTATATTGTTTTACACATTCCCTAATGGTAGGAATGGAATTCTTTTTAGGGATGACATTTTGCTTAAAGTTCACAGTGTTTCCTTTTGTCAGTTGCAAATCATTTGTAAATATTCATCTATTAATACTAATAAGTAATATTTTACTTTTTTCATTTTAATTATGTATTGATTCCAAAAATAGGACTATAGCATATTCATTAGTTGGAAAGCATTTGTAGGATTCTGTCAGGGTCTTCTTGGTTTTTTAACATGTCATTGCAGATTAATCAATTCCAATTGAAGATTAAGTCATAGTGCCCCAGTTATACAGTGAAATGAATTTTAAAGTATGGAGATTTCTTTGTACTTGGCACTAAGGTCCAAAAAATGCTGCTGGAACAATAATATGAGCTCAAAACTATATTTACGGCAAATCTGTGAAAAGAGATCTTGTTGCTTGTTTTAACTTGATAACACAAGAATGTATAAAGCAGCTTGACATTGTGATTCAAACAATTTCACTTGTCAGCATGCACGTTACAGTATGGGTTTGACATGTTAATGTTGTTTTGTCTTCTAATTTAGGGAATTCATTGAGAAACATTGCCAGGTTCTAGCAGAAGATAATTTCCAAAGTCATTTAGTGTTTGATAATGGTGATTGTGTGGTTCAGAAGAATTTCAGTCTTAGCTCTGAGCTTAAAAAAAAATTGCAATAAAATTGTATCTTTTTAAAAACAAAACTAGGAAGCTACTACTCTTAAGCCGTCAAACTGCCATGTGCTTGGGCAAATCAGGATCTTTCTGACAAAAGTTCAGGAAATTGACTATAGATAAGTTCACAAGAGTGAAATGAAATTTATTATTGATAACTTTTATCAGTTGAGTAATGTTAAAGTTCAAAATATTTTCCAGAGTACCAGCTGATGAATCAGTGGATCAACTATCGTCTAAATACCTTATATTTTTATAAGCAGTATGTCTTTGTCCAACTAATCCTTTTAATACTTTACATGTGTTCTTATCATCATGAGATGTAGCACATCTTAGCAGATTCTACTTCTCTGTTGTACCAAATGAATGTTCTCTTAACTTTGAAAATAGTTTTGCTTGTTGTAATTTCATGCAGACTATTTATAGAAGCTAATTTTAGTTAACTTCCATCTTGACATTGTTGCCTCAAACAAGGACTGAGCAGTATCAGTAACATTTATCTATTCATTAGGGACCAAGGAACACTACTCAAAATAATTCGTGTTTTTAAATTATCAGTTAACAGCTCAATGTCCCTAACTTTTGAGAAATTGTTCTCCTTGAAAGGCGAGTAGCCTCAAACAAGTTTATTTTCCCAGCACAGATTTTCCTGGGTGCTGCAGTCAAGATTTAAATAACCATACTAACTAATCATAACTAGGATGCTGCTTTCCTTGCTTGGCTAACAAGTAAACCATTTGGGCACCTAACTTTGGTTGCAGCTTTATTCTCATTTTTTATTTTTGTGAAGAAATTTGGCTATGACGAGATAATTGTGTTTTATTTTCTAACTCACTCAGTTCCTTCTGGCTGTGCTGGGTCTCTGCTGCTGCACTCAGGCTTCCTCTCAGCGCCGCGTGGGGGCTGCCTCCAGCAGTGGTGCGGTGGCTTCTCGGCTGCGGAGGGTGGGCTTTAGGGAACGTGATCCCCACTAGTTGCGGTGCAGGGGCTTAGTTGCTCTGCAGCATGTGGGGTCTTCCCAGATCGAGGATCAAGCCAGTGTCTCCTGCGTTGTAAGGGGACTCTTAACCACTGGACCACCAGGGAAGCCCCAGTAATTGGGTTTTGCTGACTTGCTTTGCTGTGGTAGTGCTCTAACAATGTTGAAGTGTATTTTATTAATTTTAGTATCATTGCATAGTAATATGTTGCCACCTCATTTGATAAAATAATTCATCTTCTACTGTGCCTTAAAAGCAGGCACGCATAGTCCCAGTTCTCTCCCTTTTCTTCTTGTTCTGACATAGTATGCACTGGTCATGAGAATAGAAATGAATAGAATTGAGTTAGGGTATGCTACAGTGATTCATGGGGCACACGGTATAACTGAGTCACTGATTGTGGTTCACCCAACAGCTCTGTAGAGTATGACAGTGCCACATGGCGCCTCTGTCCAGACTTGTTGGGGGAGCATGACTGTGTCCCAACAAAATGTTATTCATGGAACTTGAAGTTTGAATTTCATACAGTTTTCACGTTACACAAAAAAAACTTTTTTAATCATTTAAAAGTGTAAAAACCATTTTTAATTCATGGGCTGTACAAAAACAGGTCACTTGCCATATTTGCCCTGCAGACTAGTTTCATCCGCTGTCTTAGAATATCCTTGGTCTCTGGAATGTGGCAGGGGTGGGGGAGTAACGTAAATTGAAATAACATGAGAGAATAGGAAAAACAAAAAATTACTAAAAACTGCAGAATTATAATAAACTAGAAAGTTAAGTGGGAAGAGTCAAATGCTTTGAGCCTGTTAAACTGCACTGAATGGAATAAGAATAAGGGGAGTGAAAAAGTTTGAGAATGTATTTGAGTTTGAGTATCTAGTCGGCAAGTGAAAATGTGAATATATGTTGAACAGATTAATTTCAAAAGAATATTGAATTCACATAAATTTAGTTATAGCTCTCTACAAAAAAAAAAAAAAAAGAATAGTAGCAAGTATCTACATTTTGCAGATGGGGAAACTGAAGTATGAAGAAGGCCCCTTAATTTGGGGTTGAATTTGTTAAGTGCCAGGATTCAGTGAAAATGTCACAGAGGCCTGGGTAAGAAGGCTTCCTTCTTTTTTAGTTGGGAACATACTGAGTGCTGAATATGATTCTAGGTAAGCGATTCTGGAGGAGAAGTTGGCTCAGACATTTTCACTTAATGAGATTTTTCAGTAGTAAATTTTGCCTTAAATTGACTTTTTAGAACCTAGCCTTTCTGTAAGATATGATTTTCCTGTAAATGCAACTAGAATCTTTAAAGTCAATAAACCTTTCTTACTTGGTATACGTTGAGTATGTAGTTTTAGAGATTTTAGTTTTAAAAATTCTTTTAAGCAAAAATAAACAAATGGGACCTAATGAAACTTAAAAGCTTTTGCACAACAAAGGAAACTAGCAAAAATAAACAAATGGGACCTAATGAAACTTAAAAGCTTTTGCACAACAAAGGAAACTATAAGCAAGGTGAAAAGACAGCCCTCAGATTGGGAGAAAATAATAGCAAACGAAGCAACAGACAAAGGATTAATCTCAAAAATATACAAGCAACTCCTCCAGCTCAACTCCAGAAAAATAAATGACCCAATCAAAAAATGGGCCAAAGAACTAAACAGACATTTCTCCAAGGAAGACATACAGATGGCTAACAAACACATGAAAAGATGCTCAACATCACTCATTATCAGAGAAATGCAAATCAAAACCACAATGAGGTACCATTACACGCCAGTCAGGATGGCTGCTATCCAAAAGTCTACAAGCAATAAATGCTGGAGAGGGTGTGGAGAAAAGGGAACCCTCTTACACTGTTGGTGGGAATGCAAATTAGTACAGCCACTATGGAAAACAGTGTGGAGATTTCTTAAAAAGCTGGAAATAGAACTGCCATATGACCCAGCAATCCCACTTCTGGGCATACACACCGAGGAAACCAGATCTGAAAGAGACACGTGCACCCCAATGTTCATCGCAGCACTGTTTATAATAGCCAGGACATGGAAGCAACCTAGATGCCCATCAGCAGACGAATGGATGAGGAAGCTGTGGTACATATACACCATGGAATATTACTCAGCCATTAAAAAGAATTCATTTGAATCAGTTCTAATGAGATGGATGAAACTGGAGCCCATTATACAGAGCGAAGTAAGCCAGAAAGATAAAGACCATTACAGTATACTAACACATATATATGGAATTTAGAAAGATGGTAACGATAACCCTATATGCAAAACAGAAAAAGAGACTCAGATGTATAGAACAGACTTGTGGACTCTGGGAGAAGGCGAGGGTGGGATGTTTCAAGAGAACAGCATCGAAACATGTATATTATCTAGGGTGAAACAGATCACCAGCCCAGGTTGGGTGCATGAGACAAGTGCTCGGGCCTGGTGCACTGGGAAGACCCAGAGGGATCGGGTGGAGAGGGAGGTGGGAGGGGGGACCGGGATGGGGAATACATGTAAATCCATGGCTAATTCATTTCAATGTATGACAAAAACCACTGCAATGTTGTAAAGTAATTAGCCTCCAACTAATAAAAATAAAGGGAAAAAAAAAAGTTAAATAAAAAAAAAATAAATAAAAATTCTTTTAGTTCACTTGATAACTAATAGGTATGTTTGTCTAAAATTGCCAAAATTATTGTTTTAAAACTTTCTTTTATTTATCTTTCCCTTGATAAAATGTCTTCTTTTTAAAAAACTTCCAGCTAGTATGTTCAATACACCAGGAATGCAGAGCTTGTTGCAGCAAATAACTGAAAACCCACAACTTATGCAAAACATGTTGTCGGCCCCCTACATGAGAAGCATGATGCAGTCACTAAGCCAGAACCCTGACCTTGCTGCACAGGTGAGTTTATCATTGTGAGCACTGTGTATTGAAGTGGGCTAACCAAATCATTGTGATTTTGGCGCATTTATTTTGTGTGTGCTGCCTTAACACACTAGAGAAGCAAATTGCATCTCCCAATTTTTTGGACAGTTTGTTTCTTTACAGTAAGTTAATACTTCATAATATAATTAAAACAGCTTCATTTCCTCTATCCGCTGGCTAGAAGGAAGTTCAGGTTTACTTTATATCTACATGTGTTCATGTAGGAGAAGAATAGAAAAGTTTCTGATTGCTTTCCCTTTTGAAGCCTATTCTTCAAAATAGCGCTTCAGAAACAGTACTTTTCAGTGTAATGTAAATCTTGAAAGTGATTAAGAAGTGTTAATACATTTAAAAGACTTATTTATTAGATCACACAGATTCTGAGTATTAGTCATGTTCAAAATGTCAGTTATAAAATAGTCTGAAATTGTTCAGTATGGGCAGAGAGATTTGTGGGAACAGTAGTCTCATTCTTTCCACTATAGATCTCTATCCAAAGTTAGTACACTGGTCCTTCATCAAGTAATTATTTTCTAACTTGTTTCAGAAGAGACCTTAACTAAAAAAATGAGTGAATCTCAACCCTAGCTGAATGTTTAGAATAACTTTGGAAATTTTAACATTAAAAAAACTGTTTTTTAGCCCCATTCTCAGACAGTTTGATATAACTGTATTGGATTTTTTTTTCCAAGTTCCCTAAGTGATTCTGATGTACCCGTAAGTTAAGAACGATTGGGCTTGAAAACCCTTAGAGCATATGAACTAACCTTTGATCGCCTATAATTCATATTTGCTGTTTATTAAAAATGGTTTCTGTGGACTGTTGGGAATTTAAAATAGTTTCCTGTAATAGTCTCTCTCCATTTCCAAAATTGTAAGAGCTCTTAAAGTTAAATCACTTTCTTCATTATATCAAATGAGATAGTTTTTACATTTCTAAAATCTGGAACCATGTTGATTCAAGTGTATAGCAGATATGTTTGAGTTAGCAACCCTCAGTAATAACTTCTATTCTCTTAAAATTTGTAAAATTGGAAATAAAGGTGTTTTTAGATAAATTTTTATATACTTATAATTTGTATATTGTAGGGTTACTTTATGAAATATTGTTTTATTCATTAGAAAATGATTTATTAGTATTAAATGCTTCAGCTTACTGTGATGATAGCATTTTAGTTTAAAATAAATGTGGAAAATATGTATCAGAGTGATCCTGTGTGTATGGTTTTAAATACATATTTGCCTATTTAATAATCATTAAATGTGCATCTTGCTTTAAAATTTTGACTCTAACAAGCACATTCCCAGCCATTTAAACTAACAGTTTTACATTTATAAAGTGACTTGAGCACTTTTGTGTGTTGCTTGTTTTACTCTAAAGCAAAAGGTTAAAACAAAAGTAAGCTAGATGTGAATTGGCTTTTACAATATTGATAGATAATTGTTAGAAACATTTACAATGTACTGTGGTTATCAGTGTATTAGAGTTTGTAGTTTCTCTATTCTGATTTTCGTTTTTAGGTATTCAAAAAAGTCTGATTGTAAAAACTGTTTATACAGTCAGGTAAGTTAGGAGAAAAATCTTAATCAAATGCAATAACAATTTTCTGAGAAAGTATGAATCAGCTTAAGATGACACACTTTTTCAAATAACATGAGTCCTAAAAGATAAATGTGATAACTTTATTGACTGGAGCCATTAAAGAAGCAGGTTTGTTGGCCTCAATTAGATTTTACTTTATCTACTGTGAACTTACTGGTCACTTCGAAATAAATGCCGTATATTCATAAAACTTGTCTGACTTCTTCCTATCTTATTTTGTTGAAATTAACTAAGTCTACTTTCCAACAGTTAATAAACTGAGGGAGGGAGGGAGGAATTCTCTTTACTTTTAGCAATTAACATTAAATACTCTCACATACAGTTAATTATTAATACTTGAGGGCAGGAGTCATCCTCCACACCACTCCCCCACCAGACTTTGGATGTGGACTGGTAAATAGGCTATCAGTAAATCATTGTTAGTTGACTTTTCACTGTTTGGAGAAACTGATATAAAATTTGTCTCTTTTGAAGCTGTGAGAATTTACTAGTTTCTGGTTATGCTATTGTGTATTGTAATCTTATTTTTAGGTATACAACACATTAATATTGGCCCTGACTTTGACTTTTTAACTCATTTAACTCATTAAACACCCATTTGAAGGTTAGGAGGCATGCCATTTTTTCCATCTCTGGTGGTAGTGAGGTGAAATCTAGAGGCTACTTTTGGTGTTCTCAAATGATTTACATGGTTTAGGTCTTACTAAAGCATTTTAATACTTTATCCCCAGAGATCTATCGGTTCTAGTCCTAGGCTGATTTCACCTGGCAGCTCCATTTCTCTGGCAAGTTGGTTGCTGTTCTGCGGTGTTATTTTTCTGGACCTAATATTAGCTCTTTTGCAGTAGGCAGGTAAATATAGTGGTTCCAGATCTGGATTTTCTCTGTGCTTGCCACTTGTGTGTTGAGGTGTCTGTGCAAGCCATATATAGTTCCAGGTATTGATGCTTACGTTTATTCTGTGAGTGTAGCAGAAAATGTATCTTCATGAATTCCAGTTACTCCCATTTTTCTTTCAAGGGCAAATATTCACCTTTACTCAAGGAAAAGCCTAAGAAAATGATTGCTTTTATTTTTTAGGATATCGCATGACATTATCATAATCACCATTCTCATTGAGAGAGAGGATGTCTCATTTTTGTTTTTTCTGGAGATCCCTCTTGTGGACAGTATCTTCCCGTTTTTATTCATGTTCTACCTTCCTCCCTGTTAAGTGCCAGGTTAGGCACTGGGGGGGGAAGATAGACTATTAAACAAGGTACATTACTTGTTTCAGATATTTCCAGTTAAAATTGTTTGAACACTTGCCCCATAGATGATGCTGAATAATCCCCTATTTGCTGGAAATCCTCAGCTTCAAGAACAAATGAGACAACAGCTCCCAACTTTCCTTCAACAAGTGAGTAAGAGAAGATGCTAGCTGTCTTCGGTAATGATTTGCTTGAAAAAGTTTGATGGTAAACATTTTCCTTGCTTTTTCTCTGGCTGATAGCAAAATGTAGAATAGAGTCTGCTGTCAATTTGCAGAGAATTCAGCTTGATTTTTAATTGAGCCCCATTTCACTGCTGACCTTTTGCTTCTATTTTTAAAAATTCAAATTCTGAGGAAAGGACCATTTGGTTTTTGCTTTTGAGGATTTTTAGGATTTTGAATGCTTTGTTAATATCATAAACCATTTCCTTTCACTTTACTAACTTTGAAGTGCTTCATTGTGTCATGCTATGCTTTACGGTTTAACTAATCTTGAGTAACAGGAAGAGAGCTACCCTTTACGTGTTTGGTTTCTTCGTAATATTTTAATTCCTCTAAATTAATAGAATACCTGTTTTCCAAGGGGTAGATCTCATTCCTCAAACTTGGAATTAGCAAGATTAAAATTGTCAGTCTTGTCATATAAGGAAGTTATTTTAATTAAAAAGTACTTGAGATTGCCATGGTATGTTACTATTTAAAAAGAAAAGAGGAGTCAGTCTTGGTGTTTTGAAACTGGTAGTTCTAGGGAGGGCTTTTAAATATTACCCAAATGATCCTCTGACCTATAAACCATTATCTAAGGTTAGTCAGTGTCCTTGGTTTATTGTAATGATGTAGGCCTATCTTTTTTTGGCTAGTCAGGTGGTGTATATTTGGAAGTAGTGAAGCTGAACCAACACAACACATGTGTTAACTTCAACTTTGGAACTATTGTCTTAAGAGTGTATCTGATTGGTAAAATTGTTCCACCAACAACAGATTAACACTTAGTCAAGGAGGAATATGTGGCTTTCACCATATTACCATGTGATATAAACTGTGCTTTTGGAGGTCGTCTCTTAGAAACAACTCTTTTTATCTGTTGGAAAATGAGGAACAACTGTGGCTTCCAGAGGAGCTCCTGATTGTGTTTCATTATGAAAAATGGTTTTCACAATGGACTTGGGAGGAGGTCAAGTGATGATTCGCACATGAGATTGCTGTCAAAGGGGAGGTGCTTGTGTTTATATTGGGAAAGAAATTACGGATTACCAGTGTCTAGGAGTAAGGTTTTAGATTTTCTCAAGAAGCATAGCAAAGAAAACATTTTCATTTTACCTTCTCTAATTTTAATTCCCTCGTAACCACTGGTTTTCTTTCTTCCTTAGATGCAGAATCCTGATACGTTATCGGCAATGTCAAACCCTAGAGCAATGCAGGCCTTGTTACAGATTCAGCAGGGTTTACAGACCTTAGCAACTGAAGCCCCCGGCCTCATCCCAGGGTAGGCTTTTTTGGGAAAGACTGTGAACGTGCACAGTGCTTATTTTCTCTGAGAATTTCAGATTTAATGGCCATTCTTATTTTGGGTTGAGATTGTAAGAGAGTTTTCAAAGTTAAAAATGCTTCTTTTAAGAAGATAACTTATCTAACATTATGTTGAATTGTAACTAATTTGCCATTAGCCAGCCTGGTCTGGTCCTCTTATTTTTAGGAGTTTAGATTTACTAACAGTTGGTGCTTTCTCTAGGTTTACTCCTGGCCTGGGGGCATTGGGAAGTACTGGAGGCTCTTCAGGAACCAATGGCTCTACTTCTGCATCTAGCGAAAACCCAAGTCCCACAGTAGGAGCCACCGAACCTGGGCACCAGCAGTTTATCCAGCAAATGCTGCAGGCTCTTGCTGGAGTGAATCCTCAGGTAATGATTCTTTTCTGCTCTTCTTAATGGTAGACGTTTCAAAAAAGTAAAGAAAGTGGTCATCTTTGGGGGCTTAGCTTGTAATGAAAAGTTTGTTCTTAACTATATTGATTCTAAAAAATAGGCATTATAACTGTTAACTTGGGTGCTATGTTAGACATTAAAGGAAATGTTAAGTTGTAGGGAAGAAATGCTCTGCTGTCATTTTGGAAATTGCTTTTTAAAATGCATTCTGTTTTGGAGTTCATGTTAGAAAACTGTTTGAAATAGATTATATTTTATAAAAGTTTGTCAGGGAGGAATAGAAATTGATTATTCCACATACCTTGTGAACAGCTGTATTCTATCTGCTCTTTGTATTTTGGCTTAAACGTTGTAAGTACTTCACCCCACTCACTACTGCTTCCTATGGTGACTTGTGTTACACATACATACCTCACAAATATGGCTAACAAAATGTGAACTCCTAATGTTCTTGCCTCTAGAATCATTTATTTACTAAGAATATGCCATTTTTACAGATGATTGCAAATTCAAACCTGTTACAGTAGATTGTGCTCAAACTACTACGTGGTGAAAATACAGCATAGTTTTAAATTTTAAGCCTTTTTAAAGACAATAAACAGGTCAGAGTTTTATCTTATATGAGGATTTGTATTCCTGATAACTAGCATGACTTGCTGACTCAGTAAATGTTCTTCGAATTAATAGGAAAAAGCAATTTTAGGTATTGGGCAGAATTGTTATCTAAGTTGAACAATCTATAGGCCTCACCATTATCATGTTGCCCAGAATTGTGTGATCATTTATGTATTTCTGTAGTACATCATTTCTGAAAAGGAGATGCAGCTGAAAAAATGAGGAGTATAGTAAGTACATCTGAAACTGGAACTTTTTTCTGAAGACTTGACTGGCTGATACAGAAATTAAAGACATTCTAAGCCTCATTAGATTAGAACTTTAGAATTTTATACATGAGGACAATGGCTTTTACAATTACCCAATTGGTCGATAGCTCCAAAAATTTTTTTTAAATTATTTTTTTAATAATATTTTATTTTTCCATTATTTATATATTTTTAGTTTCTTGACTTTTTTAATTGGAGGATAGTTGCTTTACAATGTTGTGTTGGTTTCTGTTGTACAACAATATGAATCAGTGATAATTGTATGTGTATCCCCTCCCTCTTGGGCCTCCCTCCCACCTGTCTAAGTTGTACCAGAACACCAGGCTGGGCTCCCTCTGTAAATAAAGTACTAATTGGACTTTTAAATATGTTGAATATGTTTCAAGAGAGGCCAGTGCTTTTATATCGCTTGATAGATTAGCAAATGTTAAAAAGCAATTAAAATTTTTAAAGATTATTCAGGTGTGACATGGACTGATTTTCCTTAGAGCTTTGGTTTGTTTTTGTTTAACAGCTACAGAATCCAGAAGTTAGATTTCAGCAGCAACTGGAACAGCTCAGTGCAATGGGATTTTTGAACCGTGAAGCAAACTTGCAAGCGCTAATAGCCACAGGAGGTGATATCAATGCGGCTATTGAAAGGTTACTGGGCTCTCAGCCATCATAGCAGCATTTCTGTATCTTGAAAAAAATGTAATTTATTTTTGATAACGGCTCTTAAATCTTTAAAATACCCGCTTTATTTCATTTTGACTCTTGGAATTCTGTGCTGTTATAAACAAACCCAATATATGATACATTTTAAGGTGGAGTGCAGTAAGATGTGTGGGTTTCACTGTGTTTGTTTGTTTTTTGTTTTCCTGGAACAGTGGGAATCAATACTTTTTCATTTAAGGCTACTGCATGCGTCAAACACTTATGCATTTATTGTAATTTTTAAAAACATATCACCTTTTATAGTTGGGTGAACAGATTTTTGTCCTGCATCTGTCCAGTTTATTTGCTTTTTAAACATTAGTCTCTGGTAGTAATTTATGTAGAATAAAAGCATTAAAAAGAAGCAGATCATTTGCGCTTTATAATTTGTGATACAACATTGCTTATCGTGACTTTGGCATGTATTTTTGCAAACAAAAATGCTGTAAGATTTATACTACTGACGATTTTTCTTTATTTGTATACAGTGTATGTATGCACATTTGGGACACCATCTCTAGAAACATACTACAGTAGATAATCTGAGCAAAACATCTGTAATGGAAAAAATAAAGATAAGGAAATACTTCAAAGTGGAGTATTTCTTAATTGTGTAGAATCTTACAGCATCTTTGATAAACATCTCAGCAAAAGTACTGGTTAGTAAGGCTTGTTGAAAATACAGTAGAAAAACTGATTCTGGTTGTCTCTTTAAGGACGTATTAATTGTACAGACAAGATGATGTAACATTGTCTCAGCATTCACAGATTGACTGTAAATTACCTTAATCTTTGTGCAGACTGAAGGAGCACTGTAGTATAACCCCAAAGTGCATTTGCTAGGACTTTCAGCTTCTCCCATAGGTAGTTTAACAGGCATTACAATTTGTAATTGAAATGTTGCTTTCACTGAAAGTGTCTTGATGTTTCAGTTATTTTTAATCGCCATATAAAAATAGAACTATCTTCTGGGTTTATCGGTTTTCTCATGCACAGGCAATACACGAATTTAAAATGATTTGTGAGCCACTTGTTTCTGAAGTGTTTTGGTAGTTCTATTAAGAAATAGTTAAATATTGTGCTTTTCAGAGCCTGAGAGAAGGGGAATTTGGGGGTGGGGTGGGGTTCTGTCCTGGATTGGGCCAGCCTGAGTAATGCTGGCGCCCAGGGTTCTGCTGGGGTTTCCGTGCTGTAGTGTAGTCATGCAGGGGTGGCAGCAAAGAGCCGCTTACGCCGTGGAGGGCGTCCGGCTGCCTCCAGCTCTCTTCTTCCCTCCCCGGGAATTCTGTTTGCCTGACTCTCAAACTCTTGGGGTGGTACATTCCTTTAGGACCAAGTAAAACCTAACTTTGGGGTCAGTGACATATTTAGCTGACTCTGGTTCAGTATTCTCTTAGGTCATTATATTCTCTCATGTACAGTTAAGGGAAATTAAAATGTTAAAGTAACTAAAATTAATTCAGACCAGTAAAATCAAGGGAAAATACAAGTTGAATTCCATTACTTCTGTCAGTTGCTTGCTATTAAAAAAGGTAAAGAGGCAGGTTGCCCACCATTTCGTGCACTGTTTTGACACTGTCCCCTGGAATAAAACAGGTACAAAGGTTAATTAAGATGGAGGCATGACTAAGAGGAACTTGTTAAGGATGATCTTTGTGTGTCTCTGCTCTCTCTGCCTTATGCCTCAGTATGGTTTTAAAACTTTTGTACTAGCAATTGGTGGCATACAGTGTGGGGTAGTGTCATAACCAGTTTGACAATTTATTAATCACAAAATAACAATAAATCTCTAGCTTTTACACTTGTTTGTCTTGCCTTTTTTGTAGAAAGAAAAAGATGTCTTCAATTTACTTTCGGTAATCATGTCTTTTAGCTGGAATTGATTGACCCCCAGATTTTCCTACACTTGAGATTATTTTTCATTAATTTTTTGTTTCCTCAGTTAAATTATGTGTGTATATACCATATTGTGCGTTAGAGAACCAACTGGGACATCAGGTGACTTGGGCTTTTGCTTGCTCTTTTTGGTTCTTGACTAGTTGTTTGGAGTCGGCATCATGACTGAAAGTGGTGGTGAGGCCTGTGTGGCACACCCCCTAGGTGATTCTTAAGAACCTTTTAGTTGTCACCCTGGTGTGATTTTTTTGTTGCTGTTTGTTTCTGGTATGTTCATCTTAGATGTGAATATCTTTTAAGGAGTTTAAGACTTAAAATTCTCCAAAGCCTTAAAAACAAACAAACAAAAACCCTCCTAAAATACTGTAGACTTAAATTGTTCTCACATTGGGTTGAGTGATGAAAATAACATTTCAGGATTTTATTTCCCAAGTGGAATACTTGTGATCCTACACAAATTTTAGCAAGTGAGATAAATGAAAACTTGCCTCTGTGTATTCAAAATTGGTGTTTCAGACTTGGCCTAAATGTAATCATGAAAGGAGTTTATTACTATGTTAATTTAGTAGAAAAATTACAACAAAATAGGACAGATAAAAGTGTTACTAATATTAGTGATAAAAGTGAAGCTGGCGCACATGTCTGTGTCCTTGTGCAAAACAAGTGTGTATTGTTAAGGCAGAGAAACGTGCATATCATACTTCCTCTCTTAACATTAAACATGTTAATTAACTCAATAAGTCCTACATTAAGGAAACTTTTATAATACAACTTTGTCCTATTCTCTGCTGTCCTTTTCACTTAAGTGTTCTTCTCGGTAGATCCAGTGAAAACACACTTCGGGAAAATTACACTTAGCAAATGTCTGCTTCTCTAATATGCACATGGTATTCTCTCCTTTGGAATTTCATATCTTCTTTGGCTTATATAAAGCCTACTGTGCCTCTGGGATCAGTTTTGTAGTTTTCCTAAACTTGGCTAACCAGTTGATATACTCTGAAATGTTAACTGCTGCATTCTGCTTCTTTCATTCACTTACAATTTGGAGGATTTTTGTTTGTTTTTCTGCTCTGAAATCTTCTTGGCAGTTACTTAAGTAACATAAAGTGGTTCTTCTCAACTTCTTTGTATCTTTCCTCTAGTCAACCATACACAACCATTTTGCTTCAGAAAGTGAACATTTATTGAACATCTGTTGAGTAACAGGTTCTTTTCTAATTGCTCAAAGCATAGGAGTAAATAAAACAAAGTTCTATCCATATGGGGTTTACACAGTGGAAGGTAGGGAAACAGTAAACAAAACATATATGTGGCCTGCTAGGTAGTGACAAGTGCTTTGGTGAAAAACTAAGATTAAGGAGATTAATTCAGGAAGAAGGTATTTTGTTTTATGTAGGGTAGTCAGAAAAGGCCTCACTGAAAAAGGTGACATTTAACTAGAGACTTGAGGAATATCTGGGAGGGTGAATAGTTTTTCAGGAAGAGAGGCAGCTAATGAAAATGTGCTGTAATGTGAATGTTCTGAATGTGTTTCTAGAACTCAGGCAGTTCAGTGTGACGGTCAAGGTGAGCCAGGGAGAAAGTAGTGTAGGGATTGATTGGAGAGATGGGGACAGGTAAGTAGTAAATTTTTGTGTCCCATTCCTAGAGTTTCTGATTTGCTAGTCCTAGGCTTGGAGGAGAATTTTCAGAGTTAATGCCAGCTTGGGTTGGACTGGTAGCAGTAGAGGTAGTAAGAAATTATAGTCAAATTGTAGTAAGAAATTGGGATATGTTTTGAAGGCAGAGCCAGTAGGTTTTACTGATGAATAAAAGTGTGAGAGTTGAGAACAAGAGAGATGCCAAGCAAGGTGAGCAGGGTACATATGGGTTGGGGTGTATGTCAGAAGTCTAGTTTTGATGTGTTAAGTGAGATGTACTTGATTAGATATATAATTGGAGATAATGAGAAGGCAATGTGAGGAGAGGTTCAGGCTACAGACAAGTTATACAGCCGCCAGTGTATATCAGTTCAGTTCAGTCGGTCAGTCATGTCTGACTCTTTGCGACCCCATGAATCACAGCACGCCAGGCCTCCCTGTCCATCACCAACTCCCGGAGTTTACTCAAACTCATGTCCATTGAGTCGGTGATGCCATCCAGCCATCTCATCCTCTGTCATCCCCTTCTCCTCCTGCCCCCAATCCCTCCCAACATCAGGGTCTTTTCCGATGAGTCAACTCTTTGCATGAGGTGGCCAAAGTATTGGAGTTTCAGCTTCAGCATCAGTCCCTCCAATGAACACCCAGGACTTATCTCCTTTAGGATGGACTGGTTGGATCTCCTTGCAGTCCAAGGGACTCTGAAGAGTCTTCTTCAACACCACTGTTCAAAAGCATCAATTTTTCAATAGTATTTAAAGCCAAGGATGAGGTCTGTGGTTCTCAACCAGAAATGACAAAGGGGGGCTTTTGACAATGTCTAGAGAGACCTTTTTGACATCATAGTTAAGGCTACTATTGGCATGTGATGAGTAGAGGTTAAGGACGCCACTGAATGTTCTCTGATGCACAGAGCTGCCTCCCACAGCAGAGATATCTGGTCTCAAAATGTGAATTGTGCCAAGGTTGAGAAATCCTGACTAGATGAATTTTAGAGCGTGTTGATAAACACACTTTGGGAAGATCTGAGTCCTGGTTTGCTGTTAACTTCACCTCAGAGCGATGAGAGTAAACCAGCAAAAGACGTGAACAGGCTGGGGGCTGAGAGCACGTGGAGAATTTTTTCACAAGGAGAAAGATGGTGAAGAAGTGTTGAATGCTGTTGCCTTTAAGTACCCATCATGGATTGACTATTAACCTATGGATTTAGTAAAAGGAAGGACCTCTATGACTGTAATAGGGGTTTTAAAGTGTGATTAGGGTAAAATTCTGATTAGAATGAACCTGGAAAATATCAGGATACACAGAATTTTGAAGTAAAGAGAATCCAGAGAAATGGGGAACAGTAGCTGAGGTGAGGGAAGTGATGGCAATGTAGAGGAAGTTTGCCTTTTGTGTTCTGTTAAGATGGGAAGTTGTGTGTGTGTGTGTGTGTAAGGGGACTCGATTTTGGAGGAGAATATGGAGTAATTGTTTTCTACCAAAAACTATAATGAAAAAGTAGTTAACCATCACCTTTGATCCCTAGAATAAATTTGACTGATAGATCTAGATAAGCACACAGACACATTTGTTGGATGGGCTAAAGTGTGAGGGAGAGGATTTCTCTGTCTTTCAAACCATCATTTTCCTCAGCTAGGTAGCTAGGAGCCTTCCCTTATCAGTAGGAGTGGTACCTTCCCAGCCCATCTGAAGTACTATTTATGGTCAACCCTTTTGGAAATGGAGGAAAAGCATCTCTTTCCAACACCTTTGCATTGGTGAGATTGAATAGAATAAGGTGGAGATTTTTTCCAGAGCTGTGGTAGCAGTGAAGCACATTCTCATCTCAGTTTGTAATTCCAGTTTATAAGGTGTTGACATTTGTGCCTCAAACTCCTTAATTATGATGTAACCTGTCCCAGGGCCACAATCCAATCTGTCTTGCTTACCACTCTATGAACTAGGCATTTATGGGAGTTCCTGGTATATTTTCTCTCAGAAGGCCAAAGCTGAATGTGGGGGCTAATTCTTTCATGAAATAGTAGTTGCTGTGTATGCAAACTGATTTTTTTTTTTTTCTTAAAACTATTCAGACCCATTCTCTACTCCTAGCTTCTAGAGAGGGAAGGAAATTTCCAGCGTGTTGTGGTTATTTAATGCTTCATAACAAACTAGCCCACAGCACAGGGGCTTAAAACAAAAATCAGTCATTAAATTTATTCATGATTGAGCACTTTGGCAAGGATTGGTGAATACTGCTGAAGCAACTTGACTGGGTCTGGAGAATTTACTTTCAAGAGAGCTTATTCCCTTAGCTGTTTTAATTACTATGTACTTTCATCTGGGAGTGCACTTGGGGGTCTCCGTTCCTCTCCACCTGGGCCTTCCTACAAGAGCTACTTGTGCTTCCTCACAAAATGGTGGCTAGGTTTCAAGAGCATGTATTTCAAGGAAAAATGAAAGCTGTCAGTTTTTTAAGGTGTGCGCCCCCACCCCCCAAACTGGCCCAGTGTTATTTCTCTTGTATTCTGCTGGTCAAGCTTAACTTGCCCAGATTTAAGGGTCATAGGCCCCAAACTGCTTGATAAGTAGAATATCACAGAATTTGTGATCATCTTAATCTGCAGCACACCATCATGCCAGAAGAGGGAAAATGTTGGAGGAGCACATTGTTGTTCCTCAGTATTCACTCTTTTCCAAAGGAGAAGTGATGACTGCTTACTGAATATTGTAGAAGGGGCAGGATACACTTGACTGAGCCCATGTTCTCTGGGAAACAGTCTTTCCAAAGGAAGCATGCATTGTAATTGGCTGTCTTAGCATATGGTAATAAGGTTAGAAAACTCTTGTGGGGAATGCCTGTGGTTTTCATTTTTGCTTAAAATATATATATCTATATATATAAAACAAATTATACTATTGTAACCATTTAAAAATCTATAGTTCAGTGGTATTTAAAGTACATTCACAGCGTTGTGCAACCTTCACAATCATCCAAAACTTCATCACCCCAAGGGGAAACCCCAAAGCCATTAAGAAATCACTCTTTATCCCCCCCCTTAGCCCAGCCCCTGGCAACCACTTGTCTGTTTTCTGTCTTCTATGCATTTACCTATTTTGGATATTTCATAGAAATGTAATTATATAATACAGGCAATATTTCAGAGATAGTATGGGTTCAGTTCCAGACCACCTTCATAAAGCTAGTAACACAATAAAGTGAGTCACACAAAGTGTTTGTTTTTCCATATAAAAGTCATGCTCACACTATACGGTAGTCT